CAAAGTGTCTGTTTTTAGCCAGTCTGTAAGCTCGGATGAGCTCACAGCCGCTGCACACACATCCTCCACACATAAAGAGCCGGTGTCCTTAAATAAAGGTTTTTTAAACCCACCGCCGCTCCAACACATGACGAGACGCTCACTCGACACTACGGTAAGCGAAATAACTCGTTATCAATCAGACCCGCACGATAATCACCCAAGCGGTGTTAAACGCGCACACGAGCGAGGCAAGCAGCCTCCATCCAAACGGCGCTGTGTTGATGATGCACGCACAGCTGCCCGGCGCTCACCGGCTCACATTGGTATAAATGTGGGACCGCAGGCCGGGTCCGGTGGAGGTCCCCGCTCTCAGCGAAAACAACACACGCCTCACCTGAGCAAACGCGAGCGACCGTCATCCACCGCGTCTCAGCGATCGACAGCTCACGGCGGCATAAGCGTGAGACAGCTGAACGAACCCGGTGACGAGCCCCGCCCCCAGTGAGAGCGGCGCGCGTCCCTCCAGAGAAAACGTGTGCTCCCGCGAGGCTCGCAACCTTGACTCCGACAGCACGACGTTGATGAAGTCACGCCCTCTGCCTCTCAACGTTCGCACAGCGACGTTAAACGTGCAGCCCCACGACGTCATCAGCTGGCACACGCTTCGCCTCAGCATACACCGGCCCACCCAGACATGAAGGTTGGTCTGCGATCCAGACGCAGCGCACGGGCGCGTGCAGAACAGCCCTTTCGAGGAAGCCTCACCTTGGGTCAAGCGGAAATCATTTCCGCGACGCATGACGGCAGTCGAGGCGGCGGATTGGATGACATCCGTTCAAAACACGGCGCATCACTTAAACGCACGTCCACTCCACGAACGTTACGCAGAGTGGCTAAAAACATGCTCGCCGGACAGATGGATGGACAGAGTGTTATGCAAGGGTTACACGCTGCAATTTGCAACCCGACCCCCTCCGTTCTGAGGAGTTATGGAGACGGTCCTGTCATCACCAGACCAAATCTCAGCCTTAAATGCAGAAGTTCAGGAGCTTCTGATAAAAGGCGTAATCTCCAGAGTTCCCAACGGAGAGGAAAACACAGGGTTTTACTCACGCTATTTCCTGGTCCCCAAACGGACCGGAGGGATGAGACCGATTCTGGATCTGTCAGCTTTCAACAAAGCGATCATGGACAGACCATTTCACATGCTGACAACCAGACAGCTGTTGGACAACATCCAGAGAAATGACTGGTTTGTTTCCATCGATCTAAAAGATGCTTATTTTTACATACCGATCATCCCAAAACACAGGAAATTTCTGCGTTTCGCCTTTCAGGGGATGAAGTATCAGTACAACAGGCTGCCTTTCGGGTATTCCCTCGCGCCTCGTACGTTCTCAAAGTGTGTGAAGACAGCCCTGCATCCACTGCACAGAGCAGGGATGATAATTTTGTTTTACCTGGACGACCTGCTGCTCCTGTCACACTCCAGACAGGAGGCGCTGATGCAGGCTCAGGTGCTGGCATCACACCTGTTAAATCTGGGCTTCGCCATAAATTGGAAGAAAAGCTCGATTTTCCCGGCCCAGACAATTGTTTATCTGGGAGTGGAATTAAATTCAACTACCATGAAGGCTCGCTTATCACAAACGAGAATCGACACTTTAAAAAGTCAACTCCGCCACGTAAGACCTGGCAAAGTGATAACAGCTGTCTCCGTCATGAAGCTGTTGGGAATGATGTTATCAGCTCACACAGTGGTTCCGCTGGGTTTGTTACACATGAGACGCCTCCAGAGGTGGTTTGCGCGTCTGCGTGTGGATCCAGTAAAACAAAAAAGACGGATGATCACTGTCCCTCCCTCCGTGAGAGCAGACCTCCGACACTGGGGAAACATCCTGGTTCTGTCAGAGGGAGTTCCCGTCAGCAGACCCACGTCACACGTGTCAGTCTTCACGGACGCGTCGCTGTCAGGTTGGGGGGAGACATGCCTATCTCAAGCAGTAGGGGCGCTGTGCCTCACCGCACATCAGCCCACATCAATGTTTTGGAGTGTCCCACAGTGCTGAATGTGATTCAACACTTTGCTCCCGTGCTACAGAATTAACACGTGTTGATTCACACAGACAACATGGTGACTGCTGCGTACATAAACCGCCAGGGGGGTGTGCGTTCAGCCCAGATGTTACAC